GTCGTCGGTGCGCGCCTCCGTCTCGGCCTCGCCGTGCTGGATGGGCGTGTTGCCGCACACCTTGAGCTCGAGGATGCGCTCCCTCGCCAGCGCCAGCGCCTCGTTGCCCGGCCGGCTCGCATCGGGGTCCTCTTCGGTCTCTGCCTCCTCGGACAACGCAGGCCACGCTTGCGGCGCTTCGACTTCGGCAAGGACCAGCCCGGCGCGGCCAGCACGCCGGATGAACGAAGTCACCTTCTCCCTGCCCGTATGCAAGCCGGCGATGACATTGACGCGCGCGTCGGGCGTGCGCGCCAGCACGGCCACCACAGTCTTGAGCAGGTCCGCATGGCTCAGCGGGTCCCAGAGGCAATCCGCCAACAGCACCGAGTCGAACTTTTCCCTCGCGGGAAGACAGTCCAAAAGGTCGTCGGTATTCTTGCCCCAAATGTGGCCGGCCACCTTGATCCTGCGGCGCACGTCGGCTGGCGAGGCAGCCATGTTGGCGGCCACGTTCTGCTTGAGCTCGCGCATGAGCGCCGGCTCGTCGTAGTCGCTCGCCACCACCACCTTGGCCGTGTGCAGCTGCGCGGCGGTGATCGACGGCAGGCCCGTGCCCGCGCCAAGCTCGAGCACGTTGCGCGCCTCGATGGGGAAGGCGTCCGAGACGAGCGCATCGCTCATCAGCATGCCTGCGCGCCACTGGCGGTGCGCAAAGATATGGTGGATCGACGCCGGTGGCACCGCGACCGTGACCACGGGGCTGGTTGGCAAGGAGGCATCGTCGGACTGTGCGCTGGTGAGCCGCTTGGGTCGATACGAGATACTTACGCCGGGTTGGCCGAATGACGGCGGGATGTAGGCTGCTGCTGCGCTGGCCGCCATGGTTCCCACAGTGCTGCTGATCTGTCGCAGTCGATGATGAGGGGATTGACAGGTCTCGGATGTCGATGGCGAGGGCAGGCGCAAAAGCAGCACTTTCAGGGATCAAAGCGCCCGGATCTGCCGAAAGTAGTGTGGGACCGACTCTTCTCGCCTTTTCTTGGCTTTTTGAGGGCATTTCTTCTTGGGATCGCGTTGCACCTTTTTTTTTCTGATTAGGCAGCGGCTGGAGCTGGAGGGCGAGATTCGTTGCTGCCGGCACTCGCCGAGAATTTCGCCGTCATCGAGTCGAGGCTGAGCCTTCATCTCCAGCCTTCACCACCACACCACCCATTCCGCCATGGCGTTCAACGTTGCTGCCAGATATGCCGTACGTGCTGCTGCACGCTCGCAGCTCGC